CAACTTGACCCAATATTTGATTGAAACGAACAACTGAAGGCGGAGGACGCATTTGAAGCATTCTATCAAACACATTGAAAGCATGCTCAACAGTTGTGATTGTGGGTGAGTTTCTCACTGGCTGCTCTAGTTGGGTTCTTGTAGAGTTGATTGGTTTAGAAGGTTGAGAGTGAAGTAAAGCAAAGTAATCGTTGGCGAAAACAACCAGAGTGGAGTTAGATTGAAGACAAGGCATACCTCTCCATCTCCTGCTGGTGCAATAAGAAGAAGAAGAAGCAGCTATATTCCGCATCATCATCTTCAGCATCTCCCGAATAATGGCAATGAGTAAGAAAATGTGCAAAACTAGCCAACTTTGTTTAAACACGCTTTTTGACATCGTCTACTTGTTGGAGTGTGCACAGGACAGCCTCCTCCATGGCGTTCAGGTCCCCTTCAAACTAAAGCGAAGAAAAAAACCCAGTTGATAAGTTGGTCCTTCAGTATCCCCAGCCAATTAACTCTTGACAGCTGTCAAACACTTTTAACACTTGTTATTTGTTTTTTTTTCACACCTACTCCACCGTTCTTACTTCTTGTTCTCAAGGTCTCTTCTTCTCTCTCATCTCTCCCTCTTTCTCCTCGCGTTGACTCTCTCTCTCTTCTAACCGAGTCTCCCTCTCATCTCTACCTCTCTTCATATCAAAGTAGAGAATTGTGAAAAATTCAAAATATCAAAAAATATCTTTGATTAATGATAATAGTAAGAATTGAAAATATTAAACAAATAAAAATAATATAATAAATTTATACATTTTCGTATTAAAAATTTTCCAAATAAAAAACAAAATCAGAACATGTATACTATTTTTATGGAACAACCCCTTTTATGGCTTAAGACCTTACTAGTGCATGCCCAATATGAACTCAACCTGATTCTTAGTAACCTAAAAACCTGTTATTGTAGGTTAAAATCAAAATACATTTGGTAAATAATAATAAAAACGACACTAGAACCAGAAAACTTATAAATGATAATGTGAATACGCTCTTTGTAGTTATTCTTCTCCATTAAAACTCTATTTTGACTCCTCTTCTTCTCCATTAGAACTCGTTTTGTTGGTGTTGTCATTGCACTAGCACTATTGAGAGGACAAGTACATAGCATGTGGTGGTACATAAAATCAAAATCAGAAAATTGATATGTTTTGCAGGCATCAGATCGCCTTGTCGTTCCCAAGTCAAGGAGTGTGTTATACATTGAAGGTGCAGTATTTTTGCATATATATATATATATTGATTCTATCAGGAAATGTAGAATAGAAATTTAGTCTTGTTTGAGGCTCATCATGGGTTGATACAGGTGGATATCTATATATAGTTCTGCCTTTCATAAATAATTTTTTTTGGTTTTTATATGTAGATTATGCTAAAAAAAGGAAAAAGAAAAGTAGTTCATAATGTAGATTGAGCAATATGGCCGATCCAATATTTGGGTTGTTTATGCATATGGTTTAGATTGCAGGCATAATATCTCCATGGGGTTTCTTTAGTTTCTTTTCATTTTGCGAAATGACCAAAAACTCTCTTCATTAGAGAACCTCGTATTTATTCACGGCCAAATGAATAATTCCATGATGACAAAAACCATGTCCTGGCCTATCAACAATATTGTGTCCAATTCCAAGGTTTCCCAACCATTCTTTGCTCTTTGGCTAATAGAAGCTCTGGTAAAAATTTGATCGACTGATGAATAAAAGAACCATAGGCAAATCAATTAAACCAAGTCTCAACTTCGGATGCTCCTGACCAGAAAAGCTAGACTCAAAATGAAACACAATGTAACTTTGCTTCACCACCGAAGGACAAAAGGGCGTGTTTTGACTGATTTTGGATGGGTCAATAATAATTTCTATGGAAAATCACTTCAATAAGTACGTTTGAGGTGCTTCTACCCATAAATGATTCTGTTCCATCTCGAATCACTCCCAAATGAGTATTCAGACCCAATCAAGCCATGTCCTTCGCAAAATTATTACAAATCAAAAAAATGATTCTGTTCCATCTCGAATCACTCCCAAATGAGTATTCAGACCCAATCAAGCCATGTCCTTCGCAAAATTATTACAAATCAAAAAAATTGAAAAGAAGTTGTAGAAGGCCCCTTAATCAAAGGCTGGTTTTTGCCGAAACTGCAAAGTCTCGGTCAGCTGAAAAATCTGATTATATCAGTCCAAACCCTGCTTCTCTCTAATAAATTTAACAACCTTAAAAGAATAACATAGAAATTTCTCTATCATGATCACAGGATATACCCAAATGATACCTTTATATAACCAAGTCTGTATACCGCAAACTAACAAAATGGTGCAGAGTCAGTCAATTGCACAATGTTTGTGTGAAAGAAACTAAAAAAGACCTGCGTACAAAAAAACAAGCCAATTGCGTCAAAGATGTTACGATTATCGGTAAAGTTATATATACTACTCAACATTGTCACATGATGGATTAAGAGATAACAGATATAACACATCCATGGTTGCCCGAGGTGGAAGAGCTTCAATGTTTATTGGGATGGTCAGAAGATCTGTTCAACTTTAACTGAGGCAAATTAAGTTCATAATTCTCTTTTTGAATCAATGGCAAAAATGTAGGATCTACTTTATCTTTACCCAATAGATCAACTATCAATTCTGTAGTCCATGCATCTGCTGAGAAACCCTTCTCCACCATTTGTTGAATAAGTCCTGTCACCCTTACTGTCTCATTGTTATTGATAAACCCTCGAATAATTACGTTATACGTACAATCATTTGGAGGACAACCTTTCTCTTCCATTTCAGTAAGCAGCTTTTCTGCTTCACTTGTTAGGCCCCCAATACAGAGTCCATTAATCATTATGGTATATGTCCTTACATTTGGTTGAAGCCCTCTCGATGATAAACCACAAAAGAGCTCCTTCGCAGACTCAATTTTTTCAGCTATGCACAAACCTTCAATAAGAATAGTGTAAACCACAATATTTACATCCAACTTCTTGCCTTCCATCTCTTTAAACAGTTGGATTGCTGTAGAAAGTTGTCGGTTTTTACACAGACCATCCAGTAGAATAGCATAAGTTTGAACATCTGGAAGTTGGCCACAAGCTTGCATCTCAGAGAACAACTTTTGTGCATCACGTGTTTCGCCCACTTTGCAACAACCATCCACGAGAGTGTTATAAGTAACAGTATTTGGAACCAGTCCCTTACGAGACATTTCCCGAAGAAGCATCATGGCCTCATCCATCATTTTATGCTTACAATATCCATTTATCAATGTGGTATAACAAATAACATTAACCATGGAGCCCTTGCTAAGCATTAGTTCAAAAATATTTTTCGCCTTGCCCATTTGTCCTCGCAAACAGAAACCATCCATAAGTGAAGTGTATGTAACCCTATCAGGTTCAATATCTCTTTCAATCATCATTTCAACCACGCCTTCTGCTTCTCCAACCATCCCCTCCTTACAAAGTGTGTCTACCAAGACATTGAACGTGTACACATTTGGAAAGATGTTTTTACTCACCATTTCATTCAACAACCTTGTAGCTTCTTTCCACTCGCCTAATTTGCAAACTCCATGAATCAAGGATGTATAGGTAATGACATTTGGGGCAATACCCTTGCACATCATTTCTGAGAAGAGGTTTAATGCATCATCAACTAGTGTATCCTTACAAAGACTGTCGATGATTGTGCTATAGACAACTAGGCCAGGCTTGCAAGCTCCTTCCTCCATCTTCCTAAGCAACTGGATAGCTGCACTGTTGTTACCCGTCATGCAGAAACCCTTTATTAGTGTGCCGAAAGTAACCACATCAGGCTTACAATTACCTGCCTTCATCATTTTGTTGAAAATTTCTGCCGCCTCCGCCACTCTATTCTCAAGAAGAAAGCCGTTGATTAGAGTGGTGAAGGTAAAGACATCTGGTTCAAGACCAAGTTTGAAGAATTTTCCCAATACAGATAAACTAAACCCCATTTGGTTTAGATGACAATAGCTATTTATGAGAATGTTTAGAGTATAAACATATGGTCCAATTCCCGACACATCCATTTGGTTATACAAGGAGATGACTGCTGAATAATGTTTCAATTTCACAACTTGACCCAATATTTGATTGAAACGAACAACTGAAGGCGGAGGACGCATTTGAAGCATTCTATCAAACACATTGAAAGCATCCTCAACAGTTGTGATTGTGGGTACGTTTCTCACTGCCTGGTCTATTTGGGTTCTTGTAGTTTTGATTGGTTTCTAAGGCTGAGAGTGAAAGAAAGCAAAGTAATTGCTGGTGAAAACAACAAGAGTGGAGTTAGAGTGAGGACAAGGCATACCTCTCCATCTCCTGCTGCTGCAATAAGAAGAAGAAGCAGCAGCTCTATTCCGCATCATCATTTTCAGCATCTCCCGAATAATAGCACTGAGTAAGAAAATGTGCAAAACTAGCCAACTTTATTTAAACACGCTTTTTGACATCTTCTACTTGTTGGAGTGTGCACAGGACAGCCTCCTCCATGGCGTTCAGGTCCCCTTCAAACTAAAGTGAAGAAAACAACCCAGTTGATAAGTTGGTCCTTCAGTATCCCCAACCAATTAACTCTTGACAGCAGTCAAACACTTTTAACACTTGTTATTTGTTTTTTTTCAGAGAGTCCCCCCATTTTATCAACCAAAAAAAAAGGTCCTCTTCTTCTCTCTCATTTCTCCCTCTTTCTCTTTGCATTGACTCTCTCTCTCTCTTCTAATCTAGTCTCCCTCTCATCTCTACCTCTCTACTTATATAAAAGGGAAAGGTAGAGAATTGTGCAAAATTCAAAATATCTACCTCTCTACTTTGATTAATGATAATAGTAAGAATTGAAAATATTAAACAAATAAAAATAATATAATAAATTTATACATTTTCGTATTAAAAATTTCAAAATAAAAAACAAAATCAGAACATGTATCTTATTTTTATGGAACAACCCCTTTTATGGCTTAAGACCTTACTAGTGCATGCCCGACATGAACTCAACCTGATTCTTAGTAACCTAAAAACCTGTTATTGTAGGTTAAAATCAAAATACATTTGGTAAATAATAATAAAAACCACACTAGAATAGAACTAGAAAACTTATAAATCATAATGTGAATACGCTCTTTGCAGTTATTTTTCTCCATTAAAACTCTATCTTGACTCCTCTTCTTTTCCCTTAGAACTCGTTTTGTTGGTGTTGTCATTGCACTATCACTATTGAGAGGACAAGTACATAGCACGTGGTGGTGGCTCTTATTCATGATCTAGGGCTTCGTCAAAACTTCTTTAGTCGTCATCGCTGAGCTGGTGGAATTGACTTGATCACTTGGCTTGTCGTGGTCATCATCTTCACGTGGTCGTGGCTCTTAGATGAGTAAGCCAAACTAAAGAAGAATGCAAAACTGTCTCCCACATTGGTAAGGATTAAACAAGAATTGAAAGGGTTGTGTTGAGTTTCATAGAGGATATTTTTTTTCTTAGATTAACAATTGCCAAAATCGATTGCCAACAATTGCCAAATGGGTAACTATCATTGGCCACATCGATACCCAACAATTGCCAAATGGATATACAGTAACTGACAAATCAATGTACAATAGGCTACTCCTACAAACCCTGCTCCAAATCGTGACCTACAATTTTCAACTCAGAGACCCGTGCTATTACTACAAAAACATTATGGACGACACACAAATGTATATGATGTGGGAACAATTTTTCCTATGAATAAAGTCAATTGAAAGCTAACATGTAAACTCATAAAACTATTTCAATGAATTATGTGGAACGGATTTATATTGATCATGCATCACAAAACTATTTTAATGATCGTTTTCTTTAATAATAGAAGAGCAATATAATGACTTTTTGAAGAGCAAGAAAAAGAGAGTCATGTTAACGTTAAAATCCCTCAGCATCTTAACCTGTTATAGTCGGTATTTTATATATATATAAACTCAATTAGCATGTGCAACGCACATGCTTCATTAAAAACAGATGGTGTATTGGTACACAATAAGGACCCATTACTATTGTATGCTTGTAAGGATCCCATTGCAATGACTTGAAAATAGTGAATGTTAAAGATGTAAATGGGTGTTTACTAAAGTAAGGACTAACATTACAATGTTGGGGAACTAAGGTGCCATGATGTTGTGAACTACCTAAATATAATAAATTACAAGATTTATGTGTCAATTTACATGTTTATGCATATGGTTTACCATATCATGGTCAACCCTAATCCATATTATGGTAATTCCGTATTTATGCTTGTAAGGATCCTAATATGATGAATTGGAATTGGTGAATGTTAAAGATGTAAATGGGGTCCCATGCATATCTTCTTTTTTTTCCGCTCCGTCATCCCAAAAAGTGTGGCTTTTGGTTTGAATGATACGGTAGTAGGAGAGAGAGATTTGTCCAAAGAACAAAAAAAAAAGGAATATGAGAGAGAGAGAGAGAGAGAGGACTTTGGTTAAGGCAATCCCCTTCCATATTGAGGGACACCCTTTAGGGTCCCCTAAGCATAATTCAAACCGTTTTTTTTTTTTAAAGTCTTTATTCATAGATCATCCTTGCAAAAAGATCATGCAAATTGAAAATCATTAAGGCATCTAATTGGGATCAACAAAATAAACGAACATGGTGCTTCAAGAAAAGACTAATAACAACCATCTAATTGCGTGGTTAATCAACTGATTTTTTTTGCAGAGATGATTTTTAAGGGAATATCTAAAAACTAGACAGTTAAGATTATGGAAATACAATGCGTGATGGGGACTACGTGGGTGTCTCTCAAATATGAGGGTTCAAGACAAACGTGAAATCAATATGTGAAACTTGACACTCACTAACAAGACAAACGTGAAATCAATATTATGATAGTCAGATGATCTCACTTAACTACACAATTATCTTTTTATCAATGGCAACTGTAGAAACTGATTTTCATTGATTCACAAGATTTACAATATAGGGTATATATACAAGTGGCTGTGTTGTAACCGTAGGCCCTAATAACAACACAAACATGAATTTGAATTTATGAGCTAATAACAGCAAAACATATGACTGACCATTGCCTATTATTAATGGAATTAACTACTGTAACGGGAAGGAGGAATTTGTAACTCCCTAACACTCCCCCGCGAACTTGACACCGGGGAGGAGACAAGTTTGGAAATCAAGTTGTCAAACCGGGCTGTCGTTAATCCTTTGATGAAGACATCTGCAAGTTGATGAGAAGAGGGAATGAAACGAACCCTATGACTGCCGGAGGCAACACGTTCCCGAACGAAGTGATAATAAAGAGCTATGTGTTTGGTCCTGGAGTGGAAAACTGGATTTGCAGCAAGATATGTGGCTGAGAGATTGTCACAATTAATGATGACAGGATGTTGTATAGGATAGTGAAGTTCATGGAGTAGACCTTGAATCCAGATAGTATCTGCACATGCAGAGGCTAAGGAGTGATACTCAGCTTCGGCACTGGAACGAGAGACTGTGCGTTGCTTCTTTGCACTCTAAGAAATTAAATTGGAGCCTAAAAAGACACAGTACCCATTGGTAGAGCGTCTGGTATTTGGGCAACCAGCCCAGTCAGCATCTGAAAAGGCAACAAGGAATGATGAGTCGGTAGAGTGACGAATAGGAAGGCCATGACCAAGGGTGCCTTTGAGGTATCGCAAAATGCGTTTGACAGCTTCATAATGAACATCAGTGGGAGAACCAACAAACTGAGAGACATGTTGTACTGCATAGGAAATGGACATCATGGTTAGATACTGAAGGGACCCCACAAGTTGGCGATATGTAGTCGGGTCAGGTAATGGGGCTCCATGTGTGCAAGAAAGTCTTCCCTTGGAAGCCATAGGGGTAGAGACCGGTTTACAATCCATCATGCTGTGTCTTTTGAGAATTTCAAGTGCATATTTGGTCTGATGGAGGTGGATAAAATCAGTGTGATATGTAACCGCAATGCCAAGAAAATAATTTAACCTGCCAAGGTCTTTGATGTCAAACTCAGCTCCCAGTGAGTATGATGTCATCAACATAAACAAGCAAAATCATCATATGAAATTGATCCTGATAGACAAACATAGAATCATCAGATTGACTTTGAGTAAAACCAATACGAAGTAAGAATGAGCTAAAGCAGTTGAACCAAGCACGGGGTGCTTGCTTAAGGCCATAAATAGCTTTGTGAAGTTTGCAGACATGATGAGGCCGACTTGGATCAACAAACTCGGGGGGTTGTTGCATATAAACTGTTTCGGATAGGGTGCCATGAAGGAAGGCATTCTTGACGTCGAGCTGTTGAATAGGCCAACCTGAACTTACTGCAATGCTAAGAACAGTCCGAATTGTGGTGGGTTTAACAACTGGGCTAAATGTATCAAAATAGTCAATCCCAAACTGTTGGTGGAAGCCTTTTGCGACAAGGCGTACCTTGTAGCGCTCAATCGTACCATCAGATCGTCGTTTGATTTTTAAAATCCATTTGCATCCAACAATGTTTTGAGTAGAGGAAGGTGGGACCAAAGACCAAGTACCCTGTTTGAGGAGGGCATTAAATTCATCATGCATGGCGTGCATCCATTCTGAGGAGCGAGAAGCTTGGGTAAAGAATGTGGGTTCGACATCAATGTCGAGGAGAGCTGTGAAGGCATGAGGAAGAGGGTATCGTGTAGAAAAGTTGGCATATTTAGGATTTGGTTTGGAAATACCCGATCTGGAGTGAGTGCGGATCTGACTGAGGCGACTAGTAATGGGCTGGACCAATTCGTCGGAACATGGTGGAGTTGGTGGCAATTGCAGGTTGGGGTATAAGGAAGATGGAGATTGTGACACAGGATCAGCGATTGAGGAAGGAGAGAGAGAACGAGTCTGATCTGGCGGCAGAGGTGATGGAGTGCGGTCTGGTGTTCTAGCATGTGGCTGGGAAGAAGATGGCACAGAGAGAGGTGGGGTCGATTGTGGAAGAGAGGTGATAGGGATGAGAGGCAGGTTGGGCTGTGAGGGTGGGATCGGGATTTGTGTGTGGGCTTGTGTGTTGGGCTGTGGACATATAGCTGGAGCAGGTAATATGCATTCCGGCAAAGGTACGGGACTGGGGACAATGAGCAGCAATGTGACCAAATTGATGGCAAGTCCAACACTGCGGTGGGGGTCGAGAGGTGGGAGGAGCACCTAAATTAGAAGAGCCACGCGGAGTCCAAGGGAAAGTAGGAGAAGAGCCATGTGTGTAAAATAGAGAAGAGCTAGCAGGAGAGGAGTGAGCCGGAGTGTCTCTGGGACGGCCACTACGGAAGCGGTGACCACGAGGTTGAGCAGCAAGGAAAGCTGTGGGCGCAGGAGTAGGAGCCATTTGAGTGGCAATAGGTTGCTGCCCTTCAAAGGCAAGGAGACGTGCATGAAGATCCGAGAAGGAGGGTAGGGGTGAAAAATTCAGAATGGCAGTGACAAACATTTGGTAATCAGGACTAAGGCCTCGAAGCACATAGGCAACCAAGTCAGTATTGGAGACGGAAGCATTAATGGCAGCTAATTGATCAGCAAGATGTTTGGCATGAGAAAGATAAGCAGAAATGGTTTTAGAACCTTTGGTGATGGAAAAGAGTTGGGTTTCATTGGCAAGAGACTGTTGAGAGAAATTTTGGCTAATGACATTTGGGGCAATACCCTTGCACATCATTTCTGAGAAGAGGTTTAATGCATCATCAACTAGTGTATCCTTACAAAGACTATCGATGATTGTGTTATAGACAACTAGGTTAGGCTTGCAAGCTCCTTCCTCCATCTTCCTAAGCAACTGAATAGCAGCACTATTGTTACCTTTCATGCAAAAGCCCTTTACTAGTGTGCCGTAAGTAGCCACATTAGGCTGACAATTACCTCCCACAATCATTTTGTTGAAAATTCCTGCCGCCTCTGCCACTCTGTTCTCGAGAAGAAAGCCGTTGATAAGAGTGGTGAAGGTAAAGACATTTGGTTCAAGACCAACTTTGAAGAATTTTCCCAAGACAGATAAACTAAAACCCATTTAGTCCAAATGACAATAAATAACAATTAATGAGAATGGTTAGGGTATAAACATCAGGTCCAATTCCCGACACATCCATTTGGTTATACAAGGAGATGACTGGCAAATAATGTTTCAATTTCGCAACTTGACACAATATTTTATTGAAACGAACAACTGAAGGCAGAGGACGCATTTGAAGCATTCTATCAAACACATTGAAAGCATCCTCAACAGTTGTGATTGTGGGTGAGTTTCTCACTGGCTGCTCTAGTTGGGTTCTTGTAGATTTGATTGGTTTAGAAGGTTGAGAGTGAAGGAAAGCAAAGTAATCGTTGGCGAAAACAATAAGAGTGGAGTTAGAGTGAAGACAAGGCATACCTCTCCATCTCCTGCTGGTGCAATAAGAAGAAGAAGAAGCAGCTATATTCCGCATCATCATCTTCAGCATCTCCCGAATAATAGCACTGAGTAAGAAAATGTGCAAAACTAGCCAACTTTATTTAAACACGCTTTTTGACATCTTCTACTTGTTGGAGTGTGCACAGGACAGCCTCCTCCATGGATTTGGAATGAACCATCAGCTTTCAGGTCCCCTTCAAACTTATTAGAAAGTAAAGAAAAAAACCCCTGAAAAATGTATATTTTACAACAACGAAACATTTAAGAGAGACCAGCTAGTTGAAAAAAACAAAACTGATCGAACAATTATAGGCCTTGTTTAGAGGTCTCACTAAACTGGACTGGACAAAATAATAATGAGACTATATAGCCCAAACAGTTAAAAAAGGGCTCACTCGCCCTTCTAATATAGCGCGGCTGAAAATTGGTTCGCTAAATAGCGCTCTCGCTGAATAGAACAAGCGCGTCCGACACAACGCAAACCAGTTTCTTCTTCTTCTTGTCCTGCTTCGTGATATCTTGGTGCAGTGTGTATCGACTCTGCCACACAATTCTGGCATTGACCTTCACGACGGATTTGATTGCAGGAGTGAGAAGCACTTGAAATATTTCTCCATTCTGAGGGCACCATCCATGTGGGTCTTGATTGCAAGAGTGAATTTCTTGTTTCTGATGATGCTTTTAGGCCACCTGAAATTACAGAGCCTATGGATGCTGTGAACAACATGGTCATCAACCAATTGAACGACTCTGTTTGTACTTGAAGTGGGCTTTGTCGGTTTTAAATCGTGGATATCAGCAACATCGCAAATTCCTGAACCCAAATGCACGAAAGGTTTGCTTGTTTCTTTGTCTTATTTTGTTGCCATTATTGCTGGTCCAGAGTCCATTGGTTTTTGTTCATAAGATTCATAGGTTTCAATCTTTGAAGAATTGGGTTTGGGGCTTAATGCTTCTGGTGTTGGGCAAAAGTCCATAGCACAACATGCACTCCAACTGTTTGCTAAAATGTGGCACTCAGTTAGGTTATGCAATGGGGTGGTAATGCAATTCTTGATTTTGATCTTGGCTACCACATGGGCATTCGAGACAAAGGTAGTGGTGGGTTTCTCAAGAGTTGCTTCATTGGAGGACTAATGACATGCTTAGTCATTGGTTTGGCACCAAAACATGCCAAATTTTAGTCTTTTTTGCGGTTGTGTTGAGTAGTCTAGCTTATCTATTAGATAACGTGTCCCCTTTTTTTGTGGTTGTGTTGAGTAGTCATCGGTTCGTCACATTACATTAGTCATATATGTAATATGAATCATACACTCTGTGCTTTTGAACATTCAAATTGAGATAGATGTTTTTTGTATGTCTGCAATTGACATTGACTTTTAAGCCTTACATGAGTTTGTTGATTTTGATTTTTTGGTCTCTTACAATCCGGATTCAGGTGTTTTTAGATGGAACAACCCCTTTTATCTTTCAACTCGATCATATATGTTGGGTTGAGGTTTCGACCAAAAAAAATATGTTGGGTTAAGGCCTTACTAGTGCATGCCCAACATGAACTCAACCTGATTCTTAGCTCCATTATAGCACATGTTACCCAAACCACTTCGATAGTGGGTGCCTCCTTTTGGGTGCAATGCATCCTCTATACTCAGTTAATGGAAAATTCTACCGTCCTTTAGTGTATGGATATACCAAAGAATATAGGGCTCGTTTGGTACATCGGATTGTACTGATTAATTTTTGTCAGATAGTATTAACCTGTGGAGAAGAACCCTAGGGAGAAAAAGATGAAAATATCATATGATTTTTCACGTGAAGATGTGTGTTATTTTTCACGTAGAAGGCCCCTTAATCAAAGGCTGGTTGGTTTTTGCCGAAACTGCGAAGTCTTGGTCAGCTGAAAAATCTGATTATATCAGTCCAAATACCCTGCTTCTTTCTAATAAATTTAACAACCTTAAAAGAGTGACATTGAAATTTCTCTATCATGATCACAGGATATCCCCCAATCATATCTTTATATAACCAAGTCTGTATACAGCAAAATAACAAAAACATGCAGAGTCAGTCAATTGCACAATGTTTGTGTGAAAGAAACTTAAAAAGACCTGCGTACAAAAACACAAGCCAATTGTTTCAAAGATGTACAATTATCGGTAAAGTTATATCTACTACTCAACATTGTCACATGATGGATTAAGACAACAAATATAACACATCCATGGTTGCCAGAGGTGGAGGGGCTTCAATGTTTATTGGGATGGTCAGAAGATCTGTTCAACTTTAACTGAGGCAAATTAAGTTCATAATTCTCTTTTTGCATCAACGGCAACAATGCAGGATCTACTTTATCTTTACACAAATGATCAATTATCAATTCTGTAGTTGAAGCATCTGCAGAGAAACCCTTCTCCACCATTTGTTGAATAAATTCCATCGCCCTTACTGTCTCATTGTTATTGATAAACCCTCGAATAATTATGTTGTAGGTCCAACCATTTGGAGAACAACCTTTCTCTTCCATTTCGATAAGCAGCTTTTCTGCTTCACTTGTTCGCCCCCCCGTACAGAGTCCATTAATCATTATGTTATATGTCCTTACATTCGGTTGAAGCCCTCTCGATGATAAACCACAAAAGAGTTCCTTTGCAGATTCAATTTTTTCAGCTATGCACAAACCTTCAATAAGAATAGTGTAAACCACAATATTTACATCCAACTTCTTGCCTTCCATCTCTTTAAACAGTTGGATTGCTGTAGAAAGTTGTCGGTTTTTACACAGGCCATCCAGTAGAATAGCATAAGTTTGAAAATTTGGAAGCTGGGCACAAGCTTGCATCTCGTAGAACAACTTTTGTGCATTCTGCACTCTACCAGCTTTTCAAAAACCATCCAGAAGAGTGTTATAAGTAACGGTATTTGGAATTAGTCCCTTACAAGACATGTCCAGAAAAAGCATCATGGCCTCATCAATCTTTTTATTCTTACAATATCCATTTATCAATGTGTTGTAACTAACAACATTAACCACCGAGCCCTTGCTAAGCATTAGTTCAAAAACATTTTGTGCCTTGCCCATTTCTCCTCGCAAACAGTAACCATCCATGAGTGAACTGTACGTAACCGTATCTGGTTCAATACCTCTTTGAATCATCATTTCAACCACGCCTTCTGCTTCCACGACCATTCCCTCCTTACAAAATGTGTCTACCAAGACACTGAATGTGTGCATATCTGGAAAGATATTTTTACTCACCATTTCATTCAACAACCTGGCAGCTTCTTTCCACTTACCTAATTTGCAAACTCCATGAATCAAGGATGTATAGGTAATGACATTTGGGCCAATACCCTTGCACATCATTTCTGAGAAGAGGTTTAATGCATCATCAACTAGTGTATCCTTACAAAGACTATCGATGATTGTGTTATAGACAACTAGGTTAGGCTTGCAAGCTCCTTCCTCCATCTTCCTAAGCAACTGAATAGCAGCACTATTGTCACCTTTAATGCAAAAGCCCTTCACTAGTGTGCCGTAAGTAACCACATTAGGCTGACAATTACCTCCCGCAATCATTTTGTTGAAAATTCCTGCCGCCTCCGCCACTCTATTCTCGAGAAGAAAGCCGTTTATTAGAGTGTTGAAGGTAACGACATCTGGTTCAAGACCAAGTTTGAAGAATTTTCCCAATACAGATAAACTAAAACCCATTTGGTCCAAATGACAATAACAATTAACGAGAATGCTTAGAGTATAAACATTAGGTCTAATTCCCGATACATCCATTTGGTTATACAAGGAGATGACGGCCGAATAATGTTTCAATTTCGCAACTTGACACAATATTTTATTGAAACGAACAACTGAAGGCAGAGGACGCATTTGAAGCATTCTATCAAACACATTGAAAGCATCCTCAACAGTTGTGATTTTGGGTGAGTTTCTCACTGGCTGCTCTAGTTGGGCTCTTGTAGATTTGATTGGTTTAGAAGGTTGAGAGTGAAGGAAAGCAAAGTAATCGTTGGCGAAAAAAATAACAGTGGAATTAGAGTGAAGACAAGACATACCTCTCCATCTCCTGCTGCTGCAATAAGAAGAAGAAGAAGAAGCAGCTATATTCCGCATCATCATCTTCAGCATCTCTCGAATAACAGCACTGAGTAAGAAAATGTGCAAAACTAGCCAACTCTATTTAAACACGCTTTTTGACATCTTCTACTTGTTGGAGTGTGCACAGGACAGCCTCCTCCATGGATTTGGAATGAACCATCAGCTTTCAGGTCCCCTTCAAACTTATTAGAAAGAAAAGGGTTAATGACCTAAATGGTCCCCAAACTATTGCCCCAGTATCATTTTGGTCCACCAACTAAAATTTTCAATTCAAATGTCCTTAAACTTTTTATTTTGTACCAGGATGGTCCATCCGTTACAGATTCCATGACTTCTGATCACGCGATAGCCACGTGACTGAGTTTTGAAAGGTATATACGACTTTTTGAGAAGCTAACACAAAACTCCCGGGTTATTGATTTCAATGGTCCCCCAACTATTGCTCCGGTATCATTTTGGTCCCCAAAACTCCCATTTTCTTCTTCTTCCTCCTCCCTCCCAACTGCAACATTGGATTATCTGTTAAAAACTCATTGGACTCGAACCAATATAGAAAAAGAAAATGGACTAAATCCAATACCACCTTAAGCTTTTGAGTTGGGACCTAGATGCGAATTGAGTTTCTATAGAATTACTCATGTTGCAAGATTCACTGTTAGCAATTCAGAAAGTTTCAGTCTTTTTGTCGTTTTGGTGCTCAAGATGCGCCAAATCCCTCAATCCCCATCCCCCGCAGCCTGTGGCGGACCTGTGCAGGCGCAAGGAGGTGCACCTGCACCTCCGGTCGCCGGAAATCACCATTAGAGGTGCTGGAGTTGCGCCTCTGCTCCAGACATGCGATGCACAGAAGGTGTTCGACGAAATGCGCAAGTCACTGGGCTTGCTGCGCGCCTATTTTTTTTTAAAGATGCCTGGCCAAAATGACGTCGTTTTGGACCAGGATT